AAAAAAAAAAAAAGGAAAACAAAGGGTGTGAGAAGGAGAAAAGAAAGTTATTTTATAATTCAGACAAAGGTTAGTAAAACTTGCTTGAAGCTTAACATAACAACAACTTGCATGATTTTGTACGGCTGAATTTGGGTAACAGCCAACAATATTCTCTTTCCCGATTGTAATTCGAATTTCCAAGTAGACGTGATTTCCGTGTTAGTTTTCCATCTTTGTGCTTAGATAGTTATGTAAATATTTCATGGGTTTATCTCGCAATTACCACTTTTCGTTAACCTTGATATATTACATTTGATTAGAAGCGTCGGATCTCCGAAAAAGCTTTTCCGAGGCAAATATTTGTATCTCATTACCGACAGACCATTTAATTTTCTGCTAAACCCTAACAAGGTAAGATTTGTGTGTGAAGTGATAAATAATGCTGTTTTATCAGTGACAAACGGAAGTAAAACTAAGATCTCAGTGAATAAATAAAAATAAAGGAATGAAAATGTTTAATTAATTTTTTCATTGATGTGCAAGAAGGATTCGCCTTAACGAAAGTCGGAAAATACGAGCATTGTATGTGCAAAAAGGATTGGTGGATCAAGGATAATTTGTAATAATTGCATGATGGGTTGCAAGCATTCCCAAGAAAGTCAAAAAACAAAAATATGGCGGCCATTGTGGTGGCCTTTAACGATGGTTGCTAATGAGATATATTTTGTTAAATGGCACCAACCGGCATGGCCGCGATGACGTAACGTGCAATCGAAGTACCTAACCGCGATGCAAAGATTTTTGATATGAATGTCGAATTCTCGGCTAACTGCTGTAGTATCTGTAATTTAATGACTTAATACCTTTAAATGGTATTTCTCGATTTATTATTGGACTATTAGTATTAAATACGGTTCTTTGGCTTTGATGTTCTCATTGTGAAATATGCAGGAAAGAAACTTTGGCTTCTAAAAAAGCTTTGCAAAGAACCACCAGATAAAATAACGTGAAAATAAAGGAAGGAAACATATTTTGAAACAATCAATACTCCTAGAATTTCCAGGTTACACTGCTTACATTCCGATATTTGTCAACTTACCTTCTAATCTGATTTGGGTTTTGAATGAAATTCTAGAATTCTGTACCACTTAAGGAAGCTTCTTTTCCTATTTTCTCTTCATTCATCGACTCCTCTTTATTTGTGCCCGTTTTACATCCTCCTGTTCTTTCTTTTCTCATGCAGCCACTTAATCCAGAACCTTGACCCACAATTCCTTACGCTTCACCATCTCAAGGCCTGGCTACCTTACCACAACAAGAAGAAATGCAACAAGCCTGCAAATCGAACAAAAAATTAATGAAATGGAATCCTAAAAAGATCGAACCTTGATTTTTCAACTTGCTCATGTTTCTGCTATGGTTTACGCTTTCATCTTACATACTCTCAGACCCGGACCTTGTCGAGTTCTATTTTCTCAAGTCTTTGTACACGAAGCTCAGCCAGTAAGTAAAATCATTTTGCAATCGATTTTGGAATATATCTTTTGAAAAGTTTGGGTATATGATGGTTAAGTAACTTACGAATACGATATGCATAGGAAGTAGAAGCGATCGAAGATGCTCGAGAACGAAGAAAAGAACAGCTTCTTAATGTTGCCAACAGAGTCCAGTCAGAGTTTTCTTTTCGGTTCGTTACATCAGGAAGCGTTCAACATGTGGATACAAATGGACTAGCTACTACAGATGAGTAAGGAACACATTAGATATAAAGATTAATTTATGGCAAATTTCACCCATCCCCTTTCCGATAAGATCAGCTATAACAAATGGCAATCTAACCCTTTCCCAAATATCTTGATCCAACCCCACTTCCCTGCAGAGGAAAAAAATGGCAGTCATCATATTAATAATAATAATAATAATATTTATTTATAAAGCGCAAATACAAATCTGTTCTAAGCGCTAGTAAACAAACGACAAAGACAACGACAAAATAAAAT